CTAAATACTGCAGTGTCCCTTTATAAAAAGTCAGACTAAAACTGACAATTGTACAGCGAAGCCTGACATTTCGATATTTTGAAGTTTTTTCATAAATCATAGAGATTAGTATATGGCTGTAGTTTAGCTTTTTAGGTAAAAGGTATGTTTCATTAGTGCATTTCTTACTGCTGATCACTGCAAAAACGTGAATCAGCTTTCCATTTCTTATGCAGGTCATGATAACTTGTAGAATAGAAAACAATCATTTGTGCTATGTTTTTAATTTTCTAAAGCACCTTGATGACAGTGAGTGTTCAGTGGTGAAGCATCCTCTATTGAATCACCCTCAAAAATTTTTTGGCCAAGTCCAAAATTGACAGCTCAAAGTCAAAAGTGAAATTATAGTTTAATTAGGACTTGGTATAAAGAAATCCCTTTTCCCCTTCCCCAAAGGGATACTGCAGTTATATCACTACCCAATAGGCACCACGATGAAGATCAGACTTATTATACTTAGGGTTTTATACACACCAGTTCCCCCAGTAAATGCAAATTTAACAAAATTTAGACATGTCATATGTTCACAATGCTCATGACAAACAATCATTTTGCATTCCTGCAAATAAAATTGTTTTATACTGTAAGCTGGAGGCGAGTGTAACTTATTTTTGTAATAAAGTTTTTATTTTTTTTATGTGTCATTAATATAAATGTGTGTTAGTATACAAATATTCTGGTTTAAAAACTTAGACTTGCACACATTTCGGTATCTTTATTTGTACTTAACATAATTTTAGAATAGTGGTTGCCAATAGCCTGTATGTTTCACATTAATTGGTTTTTTATGTTATCTTAATAAACCATTTTAGTATGTTGTATGTCAGTTACTGGGTTAGCTGGGACATAGAGTGTAATTTAAAATTTGTCAATAACTATTCATTGGAATATATGTAAATGTGCCTTGCCGGTTATTGAAACTTACCTACAAAATGAGTATGGGGTGACAAAAATTAGTTCTTGGTGCTTAATGAAACTTTCTGCCACTGATTTTATATATTACCCCGTGCTTTTTTAAAGTACATCTCTTTGAAATCTTAGTGTAAGTTTGAGGGCTACACAAAACATTTACATTGCATTTTGACAATATAATGAGTATAATAGGTTTGTGCAAAGTGGGTAAACTAAATGTAGCCTTCAGTAAAATTGAATCTCACTCAGTGTAATCTTTGGTGCTGGAATTTCCCAGTTCCAAGGAGTTAAATGATCCTATCAAAGAGGTCATTGCCATGCCTATTGGCACTTTACTGTCATATCCTTTTTAAGGGACACTGTCAAGGTGTTTAAGTTAATTCTCAATTATTTGTTGGGATTTTAGATGGGTTTGTTTGGCTTAAATAAGAACTGCATTGTCACAGTTGAAAGATGAACATTTTTGTGAGTTCACAAATGTGTTCTTAAAACATTAAAATGTGGACCTGTGGGTTTCTAAGACTATTTGCCATTCTTAGTTTGGGGATTTGGGAGGGAAAACTGATATAAAGAAATTGTGAAGAATTGGTGGGTTGTAAACAGTAGTGATGAAATATATACACACTCAAGTGAAATTAACTTGACAGTGTTCATTTGAATAACTGAATTCAAGCCATTATAATTTTAAAATTAAATATCATTTGCACTGTTCTGATAATGGGTGCAGTTTTTGAGCAATATAATCAGAGCTAAATATGCATGTAGTGATTAGTGATGTGAACAATTAAGTTCTAAGAAGAAATACTAACTGGTATTTTCAAACTTAAATTTCCGTAGTAAAATCAGTATCAAACTTATCAGAAATCAAGGAAAACAGGCAATGCATATAAACATACTTTGGAATGTTGTGTGGCCATAAAGCAATAATGCAATTTATATGGAATGTCATGGGATATGAGAAATGGAAATGCAAAAATAACTAATCCTTTAGTAAAATGTCAACCTGTTAAAAGGGGAATGTTAACTAATGTAGGTTATTGCTATTTGTGATTTGTTTATGGGTTCTTGGCTTTGACAGCTTCAAAGAATGGACAGATGACAAGTTAAAGAAATTTTGTATATATTGTCAAGGATGGGTCTTACATCCAAGGGTCAAGTTCCTTCCTTGGAGTGAAAAATGTATCCTTAAAATGCATTTTGATTGTTAGAGTTACCTAACCAAAACAGACGCAAGATTTTGTTTCTGCAGACTATTTGGAAATCAAAAGTGATCTTAAATTTTATCAGTTTTCAGAAAATTGCTTTGTGAGAAAATTGTATTGAATATATTCTTTATATGGAAGATTTTGGCCATTGCAATTGAATCAGATGTTCGAGATGAAGGAGAGATTGAGCACAAAAAGAGTGGTTGCACACTCATGATGGCAATTGTATCATGAGAAATTTACCAATTACTGCAAGTCTGATTTAACAAAATATATTTTCCTTGTGATAAAATATGAAGAACAGAAATGGATTGATGGGATGATCTGGGGTATTCACTTGTATATAAGATATTTGAAAAGACTTATTTAATATCAGGGTGAACATCATGCTAGTTGGGCAAAATTGTCACATTCAGGATAGCTTTTTTGACTAAGTAAAAAATCACTTAACAGAAACAGCAGATCACCTTGTTTTATAATAAAGTAAGTATGACATGTAGTCTATTTAAAGGGGAGAAATGAAAAAGCAGAAGGCATTTGTGCATTTAGGAGAGAGCGATAGAGTAAATGATTGCTCAGGTTTCTAAAACTTCAAGAATACCCACATGACCATTTTCTCCCCAGTGATGTATATAAAATTTTTATCTGAGCATAGGAATTCAGTGGTGGGTATAAAATGAATGAACTTAAGTAACAATACATAAAACGAACAGACTTCTGGGGATGATGTATAGTACTAATTACTCAGTAATCATACCACTCAATAGGGCATGCCACTACTTTTTCAGATGCTAATTATAAACCAATGTTCAAAGATGTTTTTAACTGTGGGCAAATTAATAGATAGACATTTTGGTCTGTCACTTTTTAAAGTCTTAAGATACAAGTTCTATTAGCACCACAGTCTGCCTTCAGTAAACACCTAAAATATTTCACGACCAGCAGCATTTAGTTTGGTGAAAAAAATCTTTTTTACAAATGCAAAACAGTATTAAAACTAATGCTCTGGTCCAAGATTAGGTTTTTAATGATATTAACAGTAGTCTGATAAACATTTAGAAGTCTGGCATGAGAAACAAAAGCTTGTACCTGATTAGTTTTATTTAAAAAATAGTTCTGTTAGCTTATTTAAATTCTTTTACATTTATTTATCCATAGAATTTATATTTATTTCATTCCTTTTATCTCCCTGAAAACTGTCTGCAGGCTCTTTGATTTGGATTAGATGTGTGAAGTACTGTCTTTTGCCAAAAACCTCAAATTGTTCTTTTCAACGTAGTGGGTTTGTGCTTGTTTGGAGATCAGTTCAAAACCTATCTGTACTATCTGTACTGCCTCTGATGTTAAGATTTTATGTATAGCATAAGGAAGCTAGCTCTGACTATATTTTCCTAAGAATAAAGACCTATTTTTGTAGCATGTCTTAGGATCTCCAGGAGTCCAAGAATTATTGTGGGTGTCCTTCATCGTTCTTCATTTAACAGCTTTTAAATAGACACTTGGAATCAGAGCTCACTCACCTTTTTATTATCCATACATTCAAAGTAGCCAATGGTAAAAACAAATTCCCCAAGATCTCTAATTCAAGCACATGGTGGAGAAATGTACATAAATGTTGGCACTCAATTTTATTGATGAAAATATTATGTGGTCATGCACATGAAAGAAGTTAATGGTAATTTCCATGCCCCACTCTGCAGTGTTCTTTCATATTGTCTGAAGGTTTGGAAATGAGTTTTAGGTTGCAAGTAAATCAGGAAATGGGAGTGAACAAATGAATCTACTTAAATGTTGCACATTTAGATGACTGCAAGTGAGGTTAGGTAGGTGAACAGTGTAAAATGTGCTTCATAAAGCTAAGTTGGCAAATCAAAGTGGGGAACTTGTAAATTTCTAGTGCTGGGG